CTGGCAGGGGGAGAAGGGCGAATGGGGTAACTGAGCCCTCCCTCCCCTTGCTGCTGACCCTTGCCAGGTGTATAATGAGTTCATTCTGCCCTCGGAGCGAGCTGGATTCCTGAGCCGGATTCGGGAGATTATCCAGCGAGTGGAGACCCTGTTGAAGAGAGATACTGGCCCTGTGGAGGCTGCTGAAGACCCCCTGAGCCCCCAGGTCAGACCCCTCTGGGCACCTCCAGAGAGAACAGACTCTGCTCCAGGCTTCATTACTTTCTGCCTTCACCAGTCCCCTCGGATCTAACTCCTCTTCATCTCTGGGAACCTAAAACAGTGGCTTTTACTCCATTTGAGAATCTGATGAAAGCCATGGACCCTTGTTCTAGAAAAATGTGTTCAGTGCATTTTCTTTTAACTCATTATTTTGAAATAATTTCAGACTTACAGAGAGAACTTGCAAGAATTGTATAAAGAACTACTAGATACTCTTTGCCTGGATTTGCCAATTGTGTTTGCCACATTAGCTTTAAAATCATTCTCTCTTCCTCTCTCCCCTCTCTATATGTGTGTGCACATATTTTTTCTGAACCACTTGAGAAGGTTGCAGACCTCATGCCCCTTTACTGCTAAATATTTCAGCACATACACTTTTGAATCCCTTGAAACTCATCTATGGACTCATAGAGGTTCATGAGTCCCACTTAAGAACTCCAGTCTGAACCTTCCATCTAAGACTCAGCTCTTCCCCACTGTGACTGTGGGCCCCTTTCTCTTCCTCAGGAGGAGCCAGCACCATTGCCTGCCCTCCCAGGCCCCCTCCCAGACCCACTGGGTGGTATGTACTGAGTTCTGTCCCTTCTCATCCCAACCCTTGGGGTTGCACCCTGGGAAGGGTGTAGGGAATGGAAGACTGGAATCTCAACACACCCTCCTCCCCAGCAGAGCTTCAGAGCAGCACCTTCCTGGAGCAGAGGAGCTGGGCAGCCTTCTCCACCTCCTTATCTTCTCCTGGAACCCCCGTGTCTCCTGGAAACCCATTTTCTCCTGGAAGCCCTGTTTTCCCAAGTTCCATCTTCCCCATCTCTTCTCCCCCATGTCATCCCAGCCCCTCCTCATTCTCCCCAGTTTCCTCCCAAGTCTCTTCAAATCTCTTTTCATACCCCCCCAGCTCTCCACTTCCATTGTCCCCCAGTGCATCCCAGTTTCCCATCCCATCCTCTCAGTTTCCACGGAGTTCTCTCCTCCCCAGTTCTCCACCTACCTTCTCTCCCAGTTGTTCCCAGGTCACTCTTACTCCTTCCTCTCCTCCATGCCCCTCTTCTTCTCCCCTCCCCTCTACCACAGCAGCCCCTCTCCTCTCTCTGGCTAGTGCCTTCTCACTGGCTGTGATGACTGTGGCCCAGTCCCTGCTGTCCCCCTCACCCGGGCTCCTTTCCCAGTCTCCTCCAGCCCCTCCTGGTCCCCTACCTAGCCTGCCCCCTCCCCCTCCCTTTGCTTCTTGTGGCCAGGAGAGGCCTTCAACCCTGACAGCTGAGGTGGAGAGTGAGGTGAGTAGGAAACCAAGAGGGATGATTAGGGGGGCTCCATTCTGGATCATTTCTCTGCTCATGGACCCACACTTTGTAGGCCTTCTCAAATCCTGCTCAGCCACTCCTGGGTGAAGCTAGACTGGCGCCCATCTCTGAAGGTAAAGCCTCTGCCCACTGAACTTCCCCTGCCCATTATCCTCAATCCACTTTGTCCTGCCACTGATTTCTCTCCCTTCTTCCTCCATGTCTCTCTACAGAGGGGAAGCCTCAGCTTGTTGGGCGTTTCCAAGTGACTTCATCCAAGGAACCAGCTGAGCCTCTTCCCCTGCAAACAACATCCCCAACTCTCTCCGATTCCCTGAAGCCTCCAACCCCTCAGATGACCTCGGAGAGCTCGGACACAGAGGACAGTGCTGGAGGCGGGCCAGAGGCCAGGGAGGCTCTGGCTGAGAGTGACCGTGCAGCCCGGTGCCTGGGGGCTGGAGTTGAGGAGGAAGGGGATGATGGGAAGGAACCCCAAGTGGGGGGCAGCCCCCCACCCCTGAGCCATCCCAGCCCAGTGTGGATGAACTACTCCTACAGCAGCCTGTGTCTGAGCAGTGAGGAATCAGAGAGCAGTGGGGAGGATGAGGAATTCTGGGCTGAGCTGCAGAGCCTTCGGCAAAAGTGAGTCTGGGGAGGATAGAGGACAAGAGGTGGACTTGGGAGAGCCAAGTGTGTGGCTAGCCCTCTCATGCTCCTGGTGTGTCCTCAGGCACTTGTCAGAGGTGGAGGCACTACAGACACTACAGAAAAAGGAAATTGAGGACTTGTACAGCCGGCTGGGAAAGCAGCCCCCGCCGGGTATAGTGGCCCCCGCTGCTATGTTGTCCAGCCGCCAGCGCCGCCTCTCCAAGGGCAGTTTCCCCACCTCTAGGCGCAACAGCCTGCAGCGCTCTGAGCCCCCAGGCCTTGGTGAGACTGCAGTCACCCAGCTCCCATGTTTCCTCAGTCCCCTTCCCTAGTGATCTGGCTTTCTTCCAGGCCCTGGGGGTCTGCCTCTTGGTTTGGGGGGACTAGCCCCCTTCTCCCCCCCGGCCCCTTCCCTCACTCAGTGCTCTCCCTCCCCATCCTGCACCCAGGCATCATGCGAAGGAACTCCCTGAGTGGCAGCAGCACCGGCTCCCAGGAGCAGCGGGCAAGCAAGGGGGTGACATTCGCCGGGGATGTTGGCAGGATGGTGAGGGCGGGCCCAAGGGAGGGAGAGCCCAGGGAATGGTAACTGGCTGCAGCTTCACCCTCGTCTCACCTTGGAGGTTTCTACAGTGCTTTTTCTTCTCCCTCCAGTGAATTGGGAACAGAAGCCATGTGTCTCCCCCACACCAGGGCACCCCATGGAGCTTGTGCTCCCGGACTCTGTTGACCAACACAACTCTGCAAGGAAGACCTTAGCCCTGAGGGAGTAGAAGGCCAGTAGGGCATGAAGAGTGCTGCTTCATTATAGGGAAGAGCCAAACGTGGGAACTATTTGCTGTGTGTAGAAGGTGTCAATTCTGCAGCCTACCATCCTCATCCCTGCCACCTCTCCAGCCAAGTCAACCACTAAGCAAACCCACCCAAGCCCAGAGGCTTCTAGAGGGCACACTCCCAGCTGGGCAAGTGAAGGGGGTGTTCTCACACCAGGAATTAGCAGCAGCCAATAAATATGCTGGAAACTAGGATTCTGTGAATTTCTATCTGCCAGGCCTTAAGAACTGGGGGCAAAGCCTTGTGGGGTAAGGCGGGAGGATTTAGAAGGGACTCTCCCCTCACAATGGCAGGCACGGGTAGAAGCTGCCCAGACTTCTGGCGTCCTGCCAGCAGTTCATGAGGAAACTGCAAGGTTAATGATCCACTTGACCAAGCTAAGATCCCATCCAGACCCCACCTTTGGCCTACACAAACAGGCCCCTGTGGAAGTTAAAAAAAGCTGCTTGTCCATCACCCTTCATCTGCCCCTCTCTCTCTGTCTCGGGATGGGAAAACGCAGTAAAGTTGGAGTAGTGTGTTGCTCTTGAGGGTAGAGGACAGAAGAGTGACCTTCCTTCCCCCAAAACATGGTTCAGTTGCAAACAGTCCAGTGACCCACCATGATGTTGCCCTTAAATCAGGTGGAAAGATCTCATGGAAAAAGTAATTCTGGTTAAACATTTACGGCTACCTGGGGCAATACCACTGCTGCAGCTACTGCTTACGGAGCTTTCCAGTATGAAGTGTCAGCCCCAACACACTCATTTGACTCCAAGAGAGATGACTCAGTTTTTATTCTCAACCTGACCCCATTCTTCCCACTTTAGGCTCCAACACTGCACAGAGCTGCCACACCTATCCCCCATTAACAGCCCACCTCTGATCCTCCATCCTCCCAGTCCCTGGTAGGTGAAAGGGATAAACCACAAAGTCAGAAAACCTGGGAAAAGCTAAGGTCAGATACCTCTCAAACAAGGAAAGGAACTACAAGAAGGGCTCAGTCGCCACACACAGTGAGTGTGAGGTGGGCAATGTTCTCTTGACGATGGCCAAATGCATAAATCCCTGGCTTCTTGGGCTCAGTCATCATCCAACGTTAGTTAGGGCAGCGATGCTATCAGAAGGCTTCCATTTCTACAGGGTCAAGGAGCAACATCCATCACATGAAGGGGCTCCAGCAGGTTGGAGATGTGCGATGCCCATCTGGATTAGGGTCCTGATGTCCTTTCCAGAGCCCGGGCTCGAGCAGCTTTGACCTCATCCTCCAGCTCATCTAGAAAACGCTCCTGGGACACCGAGTAGAAGGTGTAACCATCTGGGGAGGTGGGTTCAGGAAGCCACTTAAAATATGTATGCACATTCCCTTTTCCTAGATTTGCTCCACCGCCCTTGTTAATCTCTCATCCTCCCAAATGAGTGATTCGATCTCCTGCCCTCTGCTCTTCTGAGCCCTGACCCCGACTCTGTTATTATTAATAAAGTATACTAAAAGAGCACCTTAAAATGACAAAGTAAGGCACATTAAACGCTTGGCTCTACGTTAGAAGTAGCCCAGACTTTCACAGCTCAGGTTCTCTCTGCCACCCCCACACCGCCCTCCTCCATGCTTCAGCTCCCCTTCCCCTGCCCCCATTTGCGGTCTCCCTGAGTCTACAGTGCGGACGGATACAAATAGCTAACACCAGGGCCCCGATGCCCAAGCCGGTGATGATGTTCCGGGTCCGCCGCTGTGGCAGCGTCTTCTGCCACTGGGCGAGCTGCACCTGCCGCATGAATTGCAGTTGCGCGGGAGTCAGCTTCTCCCGAGTCGGGTCGATGCGCCGAGCCGGAGGGGCCTCTCCACTCTTAGCATCGAGAGGGCCACCAGATCCCGACGCCGCCATGTTGCCGCTCCACCCTTCGCAGTCCCAGGACGCGAGGACTGCTGGGAAGCAGTCCTTGGCTGCCGCAGGGAAAGCTGGGAGTTGTAGTTCGCCTTTCTTTTACCGACAGAGTGCGGCTCTCCGCGCTTAGGGAAAGGGCGGGGGAGACGGGTAGAGGCCGTGCTTTCTGATTGGCTGAGGGGTCCGCGGCCGTTGGGGCGGGAAAAGGCTGTGGAGGGCTCGAGGCTGTGGTGGGAATTGGGTTTTCCTCAGACTTGAGGCGAGGACAAGCACACAGACGGGGACGAGGAATCCAGCGTGTGGCAGAAGACTCTAGAGAGAAACTAAGGGGGTCAGTTTAAGATCCAGTGAGCTATCCGGGTGCCCGAAAAGGCTTCTGAAAATGGACGGACCAAGATTGGCCTCCCTCGGTGACTTTCAGTTTGGAGCCGTGACCACCGAGACGATAGAAGACGCTCTGCTCCACTTGGCCCAGCAGAATGAGCAAGCAGTGCGGGAGGCTGCCGGCTGGACGGGCAGCTTCAGGGAGACCCGGATCGTGGGTGTGGATGCAGGGCAGGGAGCTGGGTTTATGGGAGACTGGGCATCTGTCTTTGAGGCGCCGGCCTTGACATTCAGTTTACTTTATTCATTCAAATAAGTCTTGTTAGTCCCTACTCTGTGCCAGGTGCTGGGGATATAGTGATGAACAAGACACACGAGCACCCTGCCCTTGATTTCAGCATGCATACCTGTTATCCACACTGCCTGAGATTGAAAGATGAAATAGAAATCTAGTCCCTGCTCTCAAAGCATGTATGATCTTTGGAGGATATTAGGACAAATCTGCAAGTGAATAGGTACAAGTATGGTTAGATACCTGACATACCAGATAAAACAAGCTTTTACCTGAAAAAGCTTTTATCTGGATTGAGAGGAGTGATGGAGTGAGGTGGGGGCAAGAAGAATTAAAGGAGTCCTCCAGGCCTCATGGCTTTTGAGGTAGGCTTTGAAGGAAGGATGACATTTTGGTTGGAGAAGGTGCAGAAGGGGGATAGCGTTTCTACCAGAAGGGGATAGCATGAGTAAAGCCATGGAAATAGGGAAGTACGATAGGAAGTACAATACGGTGAGTACAATGCCACAGGTTGGCCAGAGCATGTGGAATAGTGGAAATTAAGACTAGAGAGGTAGTTTGGAGACACTCCATGTGGAACTCTGAATGCTATACTTGGCTTAGTAGGAAAACAAGAAGGCATCGAAGGTTTTTAAATATGGGAGTGATATGACCGTAACCTTTTCCTTAGAAAAAATTATTTTGGCTGTGAGGTAAAGGATGGATTGGAGTAGAGAGAGAGGGGAGGTAGGTAGACCAGTGGAGTCAGTATTAGTAGTTTAGGTGATAGGGCAGAGAGAATGACAAGGGAGGATGGATTAGAAACATTTCAGAGGTGAAGTCTAGGGTTCTGCAATGGATGAATTTAAGAAGTGAAGAAGGCAAAGATTACTATGCCAAAGGGTCGATCCTAGGAGACTGGGAGTATAGTGGTGCCATTAAGAGAAACATACACATTCTTTTTTTTTTTTTTGGTGAGGGAGAGTGTCCCTGAGCTAACATCTGTGCCAATCTTCCTCCATTTTGTATATGGGATACCGCCAGAGCATGGCTTGATGAGCCGCAAGTAGGTCCGTGCCCAGGCTCCAAACCGGCAAACCCTGGGCGGCAGAAGCTGAGTGCGTGAACTTTACCGCTACGCCACCAGGCGGCCCCTACATGTACATTAAAAAAATAAAACAGGAGGAAATGTGACTTTTGTTTGAGAAAGACCATAGCTTTGGTTTTGGATCTACTCAGTTTCAGGTGCTTGTAGAACATCTAGAGGAAGGCTTCATTAACCCCCCCGCTTTTTTTCTTTTTGTGAGGAAGATCAGCCCTTGAGCTAACATCTATTCCCAATCCTCCTCGTTTTTTTCCCCAAAGCCCCAGTAGATAGTTGTATGTCACAGTTGCACATCCTTCTAGTTGCTGTATGTGGGACGCGGCCTCAGCATGGCCAGAGAAGCGGTGCGTTGGTGCGCGCCCGGGATCCGAACCCGGGCCACCAGTAGCGGAGCGCGCGCACTTAACCACTAAGCCACGGGGCCGGCCCTAAAGGCAGGTTTCTTTGGGCTGTTTAACAACTGTCAGAAGAGAGGTCAGAACTAGAGATAAAGGTTTGGGAGTTATCTCCATAAGGATACTGTTGAAACTGTGGCAGAGGATGAGCTCCTAGAGAGAGAAGAGAGAAGCAGGTCAAGGACAGTTCCTTGGGAAACATTTTGTGTTCAGGGAATTGGATTAGGAAGAAGAGCCATGAAGGAAATAAAAGGAGTGGTTGGGGAGATAGGAACAGAATCAAGAGACCTTTGGAAGCCAAGAGGAGAGTTTCAAGAAGGATGATGGTCAGCAGTTTCAGACGCTTCGGGGATATGAACAACGGGAATGAGGATTGCAAAAGGGCCATGAAATTGAACAATTTGGATATATTTGCTGACCTTTGAGATAATCATTTCAGCAAGTTGGGAAAACTAGAAGTCAAATTGCAGAACATTAGGGGGTGAATGATGAAGTATAAGCAGCAGGTGTAAGCAAGGCTTTCAAGAAATTTAACAGTGATGGAAACTAGTGAGATAGAGCCCTAGCTTAAGACGATAGAAGGGGGGCCTTTCAGTTAATAGCAGATCTGAGTATGTTTATAAGTGCAGGAGGTGGAGCCAGCACTGAGGGAGACGTGTAACCCTCATCCCTTCCCCCTAATTCAAGCTCAGTTTTCTTGGCAAATTAAAATGGAAAATAGAAACAACTGCCCAGATAATTCAGACAAAAACCAAAACAAAACCAAACAACTACATGCACATAAAAAAACAAGACAAAGAAATAAGGGCTAAACTCCAGCAAATAAAAGGACTGGCTGATAACACACAATTATGTGTTCTAGGGTATTTTGCTTAATTGCTTAACTAATTCTCTTCTGCACTGGACACTGCTAGCAGAGCTTTAATCTCTGTAATGATAAGGTTTTGTACATTTATCCATGTGTAATGTGTCGAGTAGATTGTTAAAGTGTCTTGTGCTAACTTGACTTTTATAATTTTCTTTTTTCGTAAGTCAAATCTTCTCTGAAGACATATGGTAATCTGACTGTGTAATTCTTTGCTTATCAGAGCTAAAAGTTACTAGTTCTGTAGGAGCTTTCTTTGTTAAGAACTAACATTTACTCTTGTTTCCACCCTCTAATGATATTGCAAACTAAATAGAATACTATCTGGGGCTGTTCTTTCAAAGAGAAACAGGCAGCCCAAATCTTGCCAAGGTATCTTCCCAATGACCCTCCCCTCCCCAAACTGGGCTATGTTCCCTGATTTAGCGGATGCTTCTTCAAAACAAGCCACTCCACAGTACCAAACTTGCTCCTGGGGAGAGGCTCAGCCGCCAAAGATTTACCCAACAAACGGTGGGTGGAGAGATGGTGTCCAGCTGTAAGGCGAATGGTGTTTGTAAAGCAATAGGAGTTCTCCAGAGGGTGGTTACTAAACAAACAGTGTTATAAAGAATATTGAAGCTCCAGGAGGGACCTTTCTGTTCCTGTCAACATTCCACTGAAAACAATATAGGGGTTAGGGTTTTTATCCATCCAAGAATCTCCCTTGAAGCTGGGGGTTCCCAGCATGGTGTAGAGGCCAACTAGACCAGCTGGTATGTTTGTGTGTAGCTGGCCAAACCTTTTATCAGCTGAGACCCACAGGAAGGCTCAAGGGTCACTGAGGGGGCTTGGTAAGCCCTTGTCTTTGGCACTCTGTCAGCCTCCTTTTCATACCTCTGATCTGCCTATTGGCAGCATAGGGAACTAAGCTCAGCTTAAGTTGTTTCAGTCTCATCTTTCTCACCTCCTGACCCTCTTCCCTTGGCCCCACCATGGCTTTTACACAATGCCAAGAGTTCACAGAGTGGTTTTGGTTGCACCTTGTGAATTAGGCTATTCTTTCCTGTTTTGGCAGAGTTTGTTTTTCTCCTGTCTGAACAATGGTGTCTGGAGAAATCTGTGAGCTACCAGGCTGTAGAAATCCTAGAAAGGTAAAGCCCTGAGCACACAGCCTTTGTGGGTGGTAACTCTCAGAATGGCTAATGTACCCAAACCTTTAAAAAAAGTACTAGTCGCCCCTTCCCATGAGGCCTGGTTTTACACCTTCTATTACCTGCAAATGTAAATTTCTTAGCCAGCAATTGATATTGGAGAGGATAAGACACAGCATAGTTTGAAGCACTAACTCCCTTTAGTTTGAGTGGGTGTGCATTGTTTACTCTCCCCTTCTCTTCTTTATAGGTTTATGGTTAAGCAGGCAGAGAACATTTGCAGGCAAGCCACAATCCAGCTGAGAGATAAGACAGAGCCTCAGAATTGGAAGGCTCTGAAAGAACAGCTTTTCAACAAGTTTATCCTGCGTCTTGTGTCATGTGTTCAGCTGGCAAGCAAACTTTCCTTCCACTACAAAGTAAGGAGCTAGGGTCACTCATGGGCATCTGAGTGTTGGAAAGAAACCAGCTCATCCGAAGGTGACTGTGAGAAACCTAGGCTAGGTGATACTACTCATGTGGAAATTCCAGAGTATAATTATGCTTCTAAGCATTCCTCCTACACACACACACACACACACACACACACAGTCACACAGAGGCGGCTATTAAACAGCCTGAAGTTCTGTTCCCAAAGTATAACTGCTGGACAGATGCCATTATTCATACAGGTCACCTTTCGTCCCCTTGGACTCAAGGACAGTTTACATAAGGTGTCTGAATTGCCAACATACCTATCAGTATTAAAGGCAAACTATTACATTTATAAAGGATAAAATGTTTCCACATCACTACCCAATGCTTGTATAGTAAAATATCATTCATTCAACAAATATTTATTGTCTTATATGGCCAGATGCTGCGCTAGATGCCATGGCTACAACAGTAAAAATATTGTCTGTGCTCTCAAGGAATTTATTATCTAATGGGAGAAGAGACATAGGCAAATAATGTGAGAAACTGCTCGGATCGGTGTAAACACAGAGGGCTATGAATGTACCTCATCAGCCTTGGAGAGTCAAGGACATGTATTTAGAGAAAATGACTCCTTGCAAGGGTGGGTAGGTGGGAGAGTGGGTCCTAAGGGAAAAGGGCGAGGAGGTAAGGAAAGCAGAGAGGGGAGGCAGAGGACAAAGAGATCAGATACAGGAAACAGCATGTATAGCAGCCTGGAGAGCATGGTGGGTTTGGGAACTGCAGTAATTCTATATGACAAGCGTAGAGTGTAAGGGGGAATTACTGAGAGAAAAGATGAGACGAAGGGCATGGGCTGGATTGTGAAGGGCCTTATATATACTATGCCAAGACGTATGACCTTCACTCTGACACCCTTCTCTCCCTCTCTGTTTTTTCTTTGCTCAGATAATCAGCAACGTTACAGTCCTGAATTTCCTCCAGGCTCTGGGATATCTACACACTAAAGAAGAACTGCTGGAGTCAGAGCTTGATGTTTTGAAGTCCCTGAACTTCCAAATCAATCTGCCTACTCCCCTGGCATATGTGGAGATGCTCCTGGAGGTTTTAGGTGCTTTATGAAGTGTCAGGGAATGTGGGTTGAAGTCTTCCATAGAAGGCAATAAGAATGTGCCCAGGGGTTTGGGGGCAGTAAGCAGAAACCGCCAATGAGGAACAGTAGGAAGCCTGGGATGACTGAGGAAAGTGTTCCCTCTGGTACTTATCAGGGGAGGAAACTCAGGGCTCAGCACCTGGCTTCTATCTGGACTCACTAGGCACTCTCTTACTGCAAGATCAAAGAGTTGACTTTAGAGAGCAGCATGAGATAAGAGGGGAACAAACAAATATACTTTAATTGTATAGATACTGTAGATGGAGGTTTCTCTACCTCTCCCTTTGTCCTTTAAAACTGACCTCCAGCGAAAGAGGTTTCATACAGTAGAACATAGCAACCAGGAAGCACATTAGCAGTTCAACAGCTTTATGTCACATGACAACCATGATTATGATCAGAGAAGACCCACATAGTGATCTTTACCACGTCCATGCTCCGTCTAGGATACAATGGCTGTTTGGTCCCAGCCACCCAGCTGCATGCAACCTGCCTGACCCTACTCGACCTAGTCTATCTTCTACGTGAACCCGTATATGAGAGCCTGCTGAGGGCTTCAATTGAGAACTCCACACCCAGTCAGCTGCAAGGGTAAGGCAAGTGCTTACGGTAGGCTCCTACCAGAAACAGGGAGTTGGGAACATTACCACAAGAACTTGGGGAATGTAATTAACCTAGCAAGGCCTCCAGTCCACAGATAACCTGCACAGGTTACCTGGTTCTAATTAACTTCCAATATGTTGCTTGAATGCAGATGACTGAGCTCAATCAGCAAACCCCTAAAGGCTTTTACTTTTAAATTTAAATGACTTCAAGTAATTAACATACTTTCTTTCCTAGTTCTTCCTTTATAGCTGTTTATAATTTGAGATTACTGGATTCCTTTTATAGTCACTTAGTAAAAAAAGCCAGTCACAGGATTGCAACTTGGACAAAAGTGTTTGATTACGATAAAGTCAGACTGGTAAAAAGCCTCACAGTTACATTTGTTAGGGAGACGGAACAACAAAAGGCCTATAAACCACTTAGACACAAGGCTCATGTTTTAATGCTATTTGAGTTGGGGGAGGTTGGGGGAGGGAGTCAATTAGCTATTACTTGCCCATTTCCTTCCATGTCTAAAAAATCCAAGATAGATCAACATAACCAACTCATAGTTGAAGTCCCATGACCCTAGGATTTAGATCAAGTTTCATTCTAGCTCCAAAATTAATATGGTTTTAATCACTCAGGGAAAAGTTTATTTCAGTGAAGGAAGACTTCATGCTGTTGGCAGTAGGAATCATTGCAGCAAGTGCTTTCATCCAAAACCATGAGTGCTGGAGCCAGGTATGCACCACTGAGCAGGACCAGCATGGTCAGAATTCATTTAATAGAAAGCATTCTCCCATTAGTTAAAGGAAAACAGAAGACAACCTATAAAAGATAAGTGCCAAGACCCAGGTGTAGGATGAATGAGCAGGATTTGGGAGAGGAAAACTACAGTAGGACTGAAGAGTGTTCTCCAGTTTTCCTCTTATGAATTTGGAAATGGAGGCCCAAGTTCAGCTTCTTTATTTCCCTTTATGATGATAATCTACTACTATGTTCAAGTCCAATGAGTATATCCTCCCAAATAGAGAAAATGTCAAGGCCCAAATATCCCTCTCATATTTCACAGAACTTCCTCCAGCAGAGTGAAATCTCTAGCAGAAACTTTCCACACTAACACTATCAGGGCAAAGGTATCCTAATGTAATTTGGCCATTGGCAAACACTGGAACCTGGATTTAATCTTCTGAATACAGAGAAACGAAAAAATTTACATTTGGCTTGAGAGAATAGCCCAAACAATGTATCTGTGCATGAAAACATGTTGAGATTATTTAGTAATTATTTAGTAATAAGAAATCTGTCTCCATTTCTGAAGGTTGTGGAGCATTTGCGGAGCATCACTGGCATTGCCTTGGAGAGCATTGCTGAGTTCTCTTACGCAATCCTGACTCACAGCGTGGGAGCCAACACTCCGGGGCCACAGCAGGCTGTTCCTCCCCACCCGGCGGCCAGAGCTCTGAGAGCTGCTGCTTCTTCCAACACATGAAGCAGGCTGAATCCGCCAAATATAAACAGCCTTCCGTCACTGCACTCATCCCTCCCTTTATTTCCTTTCATACTCAGAGTACAAAGTTCCAAGTATCTTTTGAACTGTATTTTGTATTTCAACTTCATGCTTATTTTTCTTCATCAGAGAAAGAGTTAAGGTGGACAACAATGTCCATTTTGTATCAGACTGAAATTGTCAAAGAGCTGGGGGGAGACAGAATATTAGTGAAGTTGGTTCACTTTTGTTTAACAAGATATTTATGGCTTTTCTTTAACCGTTAATTAAAGAGAGAACATCAGACATGGAGATTAGTATTAACCAGGGGCTCAAAAAACGATACCATCTGGATGACCTTGACTGAGCACCAAGAAGGCATCCTTTATTTCCCCTTAAAGTTAGTTTAACATCTCTGTTCTGTTTTTTGTTGTTGTTCTTTTTTTTTTTTTTTTAATTTTTTGTTTATTGCAGTAACATTGGTTTATAACATTGTAAAAATTTCAGGTGTACATCATTGTACTTCTATTTCTGCATGGTCTGTTCTGTTATTGAGACCTACACAAATAGGGCTTCCTCTACAGCTCTCTATTTTCACTAAAGTCTTTTTTAAAACAACAACAAAAACTAACCCATCTCTAAACTTGTTTCCACATACCCGCACGTGGACTCAATTCTCCCAGAATACAAAGTACTCTATTTTACTTAAAGAAAAACCAAACAGTGCACCTCTGGGCAGTTATCAGATTGCAGTAAATCTTTTATTACAAATAATGAAATCTCTCCATAATGTCCCAAACAGTATCAAACACCATTTCATATCTCTAACACAGAGCAGAGTAGGCATTTAGTACTAGAACTGAGTGAGGAGAAGTGTTAAATTTCAAGCTTCTGATCACATCACATGGTGACCAAAGCTTATATGTCGTTTTCTCACGTTATCCAACTGTGTGTCTCACACATCTTTTCATCTCAGTGGAGACAAAAGTTTATATTTCATATTGTAAGTTCAGGAAGTTGAGAGAGAGACAATCCAGTGAAAACATATCAATCTCAATTCAACTCAGTTAAAAAAAAACAAAAGCAAACAAATTAGTTTTTTTTAAGGGGAGAGAGGGAAAGGAAAGCGTGGAGTTAAGAGTCAAAACTATGACAAAGGCTGGTAGCTATACATGGCATGCTGTAGTTCTGGAAACTATCAGTCATATGATATTTTAAAATAAAGTGGCTTTTGTGGATTTTTTCTTTTTTGGTATTGTAAACATGTGCTGTTTAATAGTACCCGAATTTAATTTAAAACATTTTTTTTTTGCAAACAAAACAAAATTTAAAGCCTTTAAGGCAAACATCCCTCCAAGGAAAAAAGAAAGTCATTTGTTATAAAACTGTGAGGATACCCAAGCAAGACCCCACTTAAGATTCGTCAGCATGAACTTGAGAGCTTTTGTCCACTGTTCCTCCGAGTTAAACTGGGTTTTGATGGAATAGGAGCCGCCGCTGCCTCCTGTGTCTTCAATCTTGCCTTTCTCCACATCCATCCTGCAGATGGACACAGCAGAGCTCATTAGTAACTGAGATCTGAGTTAAGTCAGTTCAGGCAAATGGGCAGGGACTTGATCACAGGACCATTCACGTCATTTTATCTATTAAAGAACTCTTGGCGAGGAATGGTAGTGTATTTTGGATTTGCTTGAAAGCCAAAAACCAAGAAGGCTGTCACAAGAGCCTCATTGTCATTTTGGAGTACAGGGACAGGACACACACCCAACAGATGAGAAGCCTGGAGCAGAGGGTCAGTGAGGGTTACAGTACTCCTCACTGTTTTCCTAAGGCATCCCTGAACTCATGGGGAGAGAAGGGAGGCAGAAGAAAAAAAATGCTTTGTTTGCGGTGATAGAAGCAGTTCAGCCTTACTCTCTCGAACTAAGGTCTCCATCCATCACTGGGCTCCTACAAAATTTGACCAAAGGAAGCATTCCTGTATATTTCCAAGGGCTTAAGGGAAAAACCTTTCTGAGCTCTGCACCAAGAACATCCCCCAAATCATCTAAGACAACATTCTTTTTCTCCAGGGAGCAGGTGGTCACATTCTGTCCTGCTTGCAGTGTTAGTTCAGTCTTTTTTTTTTTTTTTTTGTAAGGAAGATCAGCCCTGAGCTGAAATCCATGCCAACCCTCCTCTTTTTGCTGAGGAAGACTGGCTCTGAGCTAACATCCATCGCCAATCCTCCTCCTTTTTTTTTCTCCAAAGCCCCAGCAGATAGTTGTATGTCATAGCTGCACATCCTTCTAGTTGCTGTATGTGGGACGCGGCCTCAGCATGGCCCGAGAAGCGGTGCGACGGTGCGCGCCCGGGATCCGAACCCGGGCCGCCAGTAGTGGAGCGCCGGCACTTAACCGCTAAGGCACGGGGCCGGCCTATTAGTTCAGTCTTTGTCCATCAGTGTCATGTAATTTTGCACCATTTTCTGCTTTCCCACCATTTATACTATGTTTTGCCTCCATTCTTAGTGTCCCTCCAATTCTGCTCAATCTGGTCCTACTCTAGGTTCCTTCAGCATTAGGGGATACTGACCTGTAAGGAAGACAAAAACGTGTCTCGCCTTTCTCAACCTCTTCTTTAAACTGTTGCACACAGTCCAGGAAAGCCACCATTGCATGGTCAAACTTGTTGTCCCAGAAAAACCGCAACCCACCAGAACAGTATAATGGCAGCTCCTGCCCAAGAAGAGAGAACTGACTGTGGGTGTGGCACCAGACAGGCTACCAGGATTGTTCCCAATCCTATCAATCTCTCAAGTCATGTTCGTCTGTATTCCACTGGAAACAGTAACCCTAGGCAAACAACAATGCATTAGAACTGTTTCATTATCAATGGAAATGTTTTAAACATTTACCTCACAGTGATTCCTTCCCCATCCTAGGGCACACATTCTCCTCTGACCTGCCCATATCCCTTCTCAACAGACTGTAAAAACCTGATTTTCTCTTCAGGCCTCAAAGAGCTAATCCTGAACTAGACCAGACACTAGCTTTTCATAAGATATCTCAGTCTAAGAAAGAAACTGAATAACGCCATTATCAAAAGTAAACCATTTCGTTAGGAGGTATAAGAATTCTGTATTCCAGTGAAAATGGAGCTTCCCAGAGTACCTTAGATTTGTCTGTCAGAGACTCCAGATATGAATGGTTTCCATAGGGAACAAGTCGATACCTAAAATGGAGATGTAGACAGAGATGCATATAGGACTCCTCCTAAAATAACTATTGGGATATAATCACCCAATGATTTTCAGTCTTTATCCTACCCAAGAACCCCTTTTATTGTTATCACTCCTCTCTCTTACCTCCCCATGGGCTCCATGATTAAAAGATTTTTTTTTACCAAACTAACTACAAATAATTGTCTGGGGGCCTTTTATAGACAAATGTATGTTTTGGTTTAGATTTAGAAACAAAAAGTGAAAGTAGCTTGAGGAACACTAAGGTTCTGAAGACAATAGGTTGGGGACGACTGCTATGTCATGTAGCTCAAGGGCTGCTCAATCAGCGGAAAGAGCCCTGTGGTAAGGGGAAACCAGGAGCAGACAGGTCTCCACAGACAGAAAACTACTCCCAGTCTGTTGGAAGCAAGAGTTCCTGCCATAGTGGAGAGCAGTACCAGGCTGGAGATACAGATTATATCAAAGGCACCCCACACTTCCAAGATAGGGCTGCATGTCTTACCTCTGAAATTTCAGACCCATCTTATTGGCCAGCGCATGGAGCAGCAATACTGTCTGGCCCCAAGCAGCATTAATCTCATTCCATTCCACAGGAACACTGGGCAGGCGACCCAGTCTGAAGTTATTGATTGTGCCAAATTGTCCACTGTGCCTATAGAAGAAGGCAGAAGGGCAGAGAAAAATATAGAATTTTAAAATTATAGGAGAATTTTAAAACTTAGCAAATTCTGAAACTTCCTGCTCTCACCTAAAACCTAGCATAAATCTCTCTCCTTATCTCTAGATTCATATATCCAAGCTCTACTTCATACTTCAAATACATGTCTAAAATGTGAGTCATCATCTTTCTCTCTGCTGCTCAGACGCCAAAGCAGAAACCTGGGCGTCACCCTTGAATGCTCTCTCTCAGCTCTTTCCCCCAAAAACCCACCAAGCTCTGTTGATCTCCCTCCTAAGTCTCTTTTTTTTTTTTTTTTAAACTTTATTTATTTATTTTTCCCCCAAAAGCCCCAGCAGATAGTTATATGTCATAGTTCCACATCCTTCTAGTTGCTGTATGTGGGACGCGGCCTCAGCATGGCCTGAGAAGCGGGTGCGTCGGTGCGCGCCCGGGATCCGAACCCTGGCCGCCAGCAGCGGAGTGCGTGCACTTTAACCGCTAAGCCACGGGGCGGGCCCTCCCTCCTAAGTCTCTTAAATCTGTTACTTCTCTTCAAACTCAGTGCCACTTTATCTTTTCCTGTTTAGATTCCTGCTGACAAGTCTCCTTACCAACAACACTGCCCTCTTCCCCCGAGTCATTTCTCACATTGCAGGTAAAGCTTTCATTCCCAAATGCAAACGTACTTAAGTCACTTCCCTGCCTACGTTTCAGTGGCTCTCACTGCCTTTTAGTTAAAGTCCAAATCCCTTAATGAGGCCTACAAGATTCTTTAGGAATTTGTAACTCCAGTTTCATACCCTGTCATTCTTCCCTTTACACTCAATCTCCAGGCACATTCGGCTCTTTTCAGTTCTCCGAATTTACCACTCCCACTGTCCTCTGTTTCTTTGCACATGGTGTTCTCTCTGCCAGGAACAACCCCCTTCTTCTGCAGACTTCTACTTCACACCTCAGCTTAAACATCAACCTCCTCTGGGAAAAACTTTCCATGCACCCTCCCCAAATGGGTGAAAGTGGCCTCACGTGTTCCCAGGGCACCCCAGGTTTACCATTATCACACTGTATTGTGATTGTCTACTACTTATCCATCTCTTCCACGAGATCATAAGCAACTAGAAGGCAGAATGGACATTGTTTGCTGTTGCCCTCCTAGTTCTTAGCACAGTGCCTACCACAGAGTAGACGCTCAACAGATACTAGTTAAATGGATAAAAAGTTGAATAAA